CGGATTTTATTCCCGTCACCCACTCTCCAGATGAGACCCTCTTTAAGGAGCTCAAGTCCAAACTCAATACCCCTCCAGGCCGGAGATGCATCAGAGGCAAAGACTGTATCCAAAATATCCCCATTGGGATAGTACTTTGACTTCAGAACACGTGCACATAGGCTCTCTGGTTTTTGTATTAGCCTCCAACCTTGCCTCGCTAGGAGAGCTTGGTTAAACAAGTGCACGTCCTTGAAGCCAATCCCACCTCCTTTTTTCGGTTTGACCATATCTTTCCAGGCCATCCAGTGCACTTGCCGATGTCCTTCTTCATCGCCCCACCAGAAGTCACGAATCAGCTTCTCATACTTTTCACAGAAGCCCTTAGTCATTTTGAACACACCCATAGGATAGGAGGCAAGAGCTTGAGCCACAGATTTGATATGCACTTCTTTTGCTGCTTGTGACATATATCTCTCACACCAGTCCGAGCATCTCTTAGAGAATCTCTCCATGATGGGTTGCAACCGTTCCTCTTTCATTCTCCCTTCTGGGGTAGGGAGGCCCAAATATTTGCTTTCGAAAGAAGATGCTACTACTCCAAGGGCGTTTTTTATTTCTACCTGCACACCATCCGGGCATGCTTCACTAAACAGCAGTGAGCATTTCTGAGGGCTAAGTAGTTGTCCGGATCCTTTTTGGAAGCACTCAAGCACCTCTCTAATGACTGTAGCCTCCTAGACCGTGGCCTTAAAGAATAGCAGGCTATCGTCTGCGAACAATAAGTTTGAGACCCCAGGACTTCCTCTTGCTATTTTGATGGGAGTCAACTTCCCGCATACCACCTCGCTGTGGAGAGCATAGGTTAAGCAATTAGCCACCAGTAGGAACAGATAGGGGCTCAGGGGATTGCCTTGTCTTAAGCCTCGTGAAGGTTTAAAGAAATCCAAAATCTCACCATTCCATTTTACTGCATACCTCACTGATTTTACACAGCTCATGATCCAGCCGACCCACCTATCTGGCGAAGCCTAGCTTCCGTAGAACCCCTTCAAGGAATTTCTCGTCCACTCTATCATATGCCTTTGCCAAATATAGTTTGTAGGCACAATGATTATTGTTTTCATTCTTGGTATGTTGTATCTTGTGGAAGCACTCGAAGGCTATGATGGCATTATCCGTAATCATCCTTTCATGAATGAACGCACTTTGTGTCTTCGATATGATATCCTCAAGGAAAGGGCGTAAGCGGTTGACCAAACATTTTGATACCACTTTGTAAACTACAATGCAGAGGCTAATGGTTGATAACCCACAAGTATAGGGGATCATTTGTAGCCTTTTTTGATAAATAAGAGTTTCGAACCCAACAAGTTCTATCGACCACCGATGCAAGTGTACGCACACTTCACGTTTGCTTTACCTAAAACAAGTATGAAACTATTCTGTAGGTGTGATGCTGGAACTACTTTGCAAGAATAAAACTAGGAGTACTTTGCGAGATAATAAAACTAGTTGTTTAGTAGAGAGATTTTTGTCACACAAGAAAGTTATTTGTCCCTGGGTGATCGATAACTAAATCGGTAATCATTATTGCAATTTTATATGAGGGAGAGGCATGAGCTAATATACTTTCCGTACTTGGGTCATATGCATTTATGATTAGAAATCTAGCAACCATCCGCAAGTACCAAGGATCATTAAAGTAAAACTCAACCATAGCATCAAGTATCAAGTCCTTTTTATCCCACACGCAACAACCCCCTTACTCGGGTGTAAGCTTCTGTCACTTTAGCCACCCACCATAAGCGAATCATGAATCTATTGCAACACCCTAAAACGGGGATCCCTCACGTTTGCACGACATGAAGGGTACCATAGGACAACACCAAAATAAAATATACAACTCAAACCAATCATGACATCAACCAACCAACAGGACAAAACATGTCTACTCAAACATCATAGGATAACCACATATCATTGGCTAATAATATATAGTGTTGAGCATCATGTTTAAGTAGAGAATTGCAGCGGGAATAGAGAGGTTACACAGCTGCATAGAGGGGGAGAAAGTTGGTGTTGACGGTAGCAATATTGTTAGTGTAGATTGTCGTCACGATCCTTGCCCCGGCGGTGTTCTGGGGCCACCGGGAAACAGGGGGAGAGAGTCCCCCTCCTTCTTCCTTGGCCTCCCTCATAGATGGGAGGAGAGTTTCCCCTCTAGTCCATGGCCTCCATGGCGGCGGAGGAACGAGAGCCCCTCCGAGATTGGATCTATATCTTTGTTCTATTTTGTTTCGCGTTTTTTGTTTTATGGCCTTTCACCGTTTCTTAAATTACCGGAGATCTGTAACCGATTACGCTGAAATTTTAACACGATTGTTTTTTCGTAAATTATATTTCTTGCAGCGAAAGAAGGGCCCCAACCGTATTACCGGGTGCCCACTAGGCACCACCACGCGCCAGGGGTGTGGGCCGCGCCCTGGTGGGTAGTGGAGTCTTTGGACCTCCGTTTGCGTTTATTCCACCTTTCAAAAATTATATATATTCCAAAATAATTCTCTATAAATTTTTATCGCGTTTGGACTTTATTTAATATGAATATTCTGCAAAACAAAAAACATGCAACAAACAGGAACTAGCACTGGGCACTTGATCAATATTTTAGTAAAAAATAAAATATATATATTGCTAGAAGTATATAAAAATTATATAATATTGGCACGAAGCAATCAAAAATTAGAAATACGACGTATCAATAATAGTTGAGCAAGTCGCAGGGTCGCTACTCGTCTCGGCGGGATTGTGCTGCGACCAACCATGCTTGTCATGCTCGTGACCTCGTGACCCGTATGCACTCCGGTGTCAGCGGCGGCTTGTACTGGTGACCTGACCTGCCCTGCCCGTGACCATGAGCACTGGGTGAGCTTGATTGGTACTTGGTCGAGAGACTCCTGCTCGGCGCCTTTAGCGCCGGCCAGGAGAACCAGCGCACATGTGTCCCCATTTGGGCGGCCCAAAATCATGGCAACCTGCTCACTCGCCCACGGCGCCTTGGTTCGCTCGGTCAAGGTTGACCAGTTGACTAATCGACCGTTGACTATTCAAAAAAAAAGAAAAATTAGCTCAAAATCAAAAAACTTTGCAAATTAAAAAAATCATGAATTTGAAAAAAATTACAAACCTCAAAAAAGTTGACATTTTTGGGGGAGAAAAATCACAAATTCAACAAAAGTTCGTAGTGATTTTGAAAAAAAAGTTCGTAGATTTGCAGTAAGTTCGCACATTTTTATAAAAAAATTCAGGATTTTTTTGCAGCTTTAGAAAACATCATCTATTTCAAAAAAAATCATGGATTTATTTTAAATAATTTGATTTTCAAAAAGTTCATGGGTTTGAAGAGATGTCATTAGTTGCGATTTTGATAAGAAATAATTTGATTTGACTGAGCTGATGTAGGTGTTGGTTTTGGGAAATTACCGATTTGATTTGGATTATTCTAATTTACTGTATTTAGATTGGTTTTTATTTTCTATGGCATCTGTTGGGATTAAAAAAATAACAGGAAACAAAAGGGCAGGGAGCCTGGGAAGGAAAAAACACAGGAGGAGGTGAGGGGAATCTTCAAACTCTCCTTTAATAGTTGAGATTTGGTTGGTAGGGGAATGTGATGGCCTGGCTTATTAAGGATGATAGACTACTCATATCAATAAGAATTCCTTCTTTTCCGGGAGCCCATTCTGACAGAACTCCAAAGTTAAGCGTGCTCAGCTTGCAGTGGTTTCAGGATGGGTGACCGACTGGGAAGTTGCTCCCGGGTGCGCATGAGTGAGGATAAAGTGCGCGGAAAAGACTAGTATTGATCTGTGGGGCCAGTCTAGATCCTGCCAGGAGTAACGACCACCGGTGGGTGTGTCCGGGGCGTTACAGGGAAGTGACAGAAAGATTTCTTTTAGTTAAGATTTTGATAGGACTTTCTTTGAATTGATTGCGGAAATGCATGACATGGTTTTGGAAAAGTAATGATTTGCTTTAAATTATTTCAATTTACTCAATTTACATTGATTTGCATTATATACGCCATGGATCGCAATTAAAAAATAAATGGAAAAAAAGGTAGCGAACGTGGGGATGAAAATATTGGGGATGAGGTGAGGCAAATCTACCAACCCTCCTTTAATAGTAGGGATTACGTTGGTAGGGGAAGTGACATCAAGTTTTGATTTAGTTGAGATTTCGATAAGATTTTGATTTGATTTGATTGAGTTATTGCAGGAGGTCGTTTTGGGATAGTACTGATTTGGTTTAGATTATTTAAATTTACTCTAAATCTTTTGGATTTATTTTGTGCGGCATCTGTTGGGATTAAAAACAAGTCAACAGAAAGAAGGGAATGCGGGGAGGAAAAAACCAGGGAGGTGGTGAGGTGAATCTACCAACTCCTATTTAATACTCCCTCCATCCCAAAATTATTGTTTTAGATTTGTCTAGGTACGGATGTATCTAATACTAATTATTGTCTTAGATTTGTCTAGATACGGATGTATCTAATAATCCGTATCTAATAGTATTAGATACGGATTATTAGATACATCCGTATCTAAACAAATCTAAGACAAGAATTTTGGCACGGAGGGAGTATTAAAGATATGGTTATAGGGTAAGTAGGGAAGATATTGATTCAGTTAAGATTTTGATAAGATTTAATTTAATTTCGCTGAATTAATGAAGGATCTGGTTTTGGAGAAGTAGTGATTTGGTCACCTTCCTATATAAGAGCACCACATCAGAGAGAGGGGAAGTGGGCACCTTCCTAGCAAGATTTTCTTTGCAGAGAGAGAAATCTGTAGAGCTTAAAGCCACTCTGTAGTTCAGCCCCTGTTTTATTTTCTCACTCTCTCTCTCTCTCTCTGAAAACAATCATCTATCTCAGTCTCACACACACGCCAACACAATCGAGAAGGAAATCAAATTCCAAGAGACCGCGGCCTCTCAATCGATAGCTCATGGCGGCCATGATGGCCTCGATAACCAGCGAGCTCCTTTTCTTCCTGCCCTTCATCCTCCTGGCCGTGCTCAGCTTCTACACCATTACGGTTGCTAAATGTAATGCCGGCCGGACGAAGAAGAAGCGACCGAATCTGCCGCCCGGCGCCGTCGGTTGGCCCTTCATCGGCGAGACCTTCGGGTACCTCCGCGCGCACCCGGCCACCTCCATCGGCCAGTTCATGAACCAGCACATCGCACGGTCCGTACACACACATACATTCATACAAATACTAGAAAGCATGCCAACACGCGTGAACGAACATTCGGGCTGAGGTCGCATGATATTGATGGTATATGTATATGGATGCAGGTACGGGAAGATATACCGGTCGAGCCTGTTCGGGCACCCGACGGTGGTGTCGGCGGACGCAGGGCTGAACCGGTACATCCTGCAGAACGAGGGGCGGCTGTTCGAGGTCAGCTACCCGCCAAGCATCGGCGGCATCCTGGGCAAATGGTCGATGTTGGTGCTTGTCGGGCACCACCACCGCGAGATGCGCTCCATCGCCCTCGACTTCCTCAGCTCCGCCCACCTCCGCGCCGTGCTCCTCCCGGAGGTTGAGCGCCACACCCTCCTCATACTCCGCGACTGGCTGCTTTCCTCCTCCTCCGCCGTCTTCTCCGCCCAGCACGAAGCCAAGAAGGTAACTAGTAACTGACGACCTCCTTGACCACGCGCCATGCACAGCACAGCACCTGGTTTGGTGTTGCGATGTGGTCCATCCGTCCATGCAAGGTCGATGAATGGAACTGACAACATCGTACGCCCACAGTGGAGTTGTAGCAAATTAACAATGGATGGATCCGTTCGTGCAGTTCACATATAACCTGATGGCGAAGAATCTCATGAGCATGGAGCCTGGGGAGGAGGAGACGGAGCGGCTGAGGCTGGAGTACGTCACGTTCATGAAGGGGGTGGTGTCTGCGCCCCTAAAGTTCCCCGGGACGGCCTACTCGAAGGCCCTCAAGGTACAACGACAACAACACTCAACAGTCAACACACTACTAGTACTATATAGTATAGTCCCTGTCTCTCTGGCTCATATACACGTGCATACACGCATACCTATGAACGTACACACGCATATCCTATTGCTATGAGTAGCTCCAAAAGACTGAGCCGACATATCATCTTGAAATTTATGAAGTCACCGTAGGCACCTCATCATCGAGGGGAACGTCTCCTCCCACTGAATGCACATCGTCGGAAATCCTGAAATAAATTCAGTAATAAATGCGAGCACCAGAATTTGAACCCTGATGGGCTGGAGATACCACAGTCCCTCTAACCATCCAACCATAGGTTGGTTGGCGTCTCTGTGTGCACGCTTGGGTGTCATGTCTAGTATCGAAAAATAAGTTGGAGAAATCACTTGTTTTCTTTTTCCCAGCATCCTATTTTGCCCTTAGAGGTACTGATCATCACTTATGAACGCATAAAACGTTGCCTGCCTTTTACTGCTTGTGCGGTTACACTCAGATGATCTTTATTGATTGCTCCCAGGTGCAGCGTGCTGCATGCATGCTCTCACACTCTTTCTCTTCCCTACACACGGCCCGTGCTGAACAGCATACAATTGCAACTTGATGTTTTTACCTCTTAGAAAAAGTTGAATGACCAACCTTCCTAATTTGGCATGATTATATCATTTATCTTGATTTAACCACGTTTATGTCACCAGGCACGCTATTTGCAACCCTCTTAATTTTGTTTTCATTAATGACATTTTGCACCCTTTATTAGCTGATATCGATATCCTACGTATACCTAGATTTTGTCTTAATTAATGATGTTAGCACCCCATGTTAGAAGGAAATTTTGTCGAGAAAATAGTCATTGTCATCAATGTTGGCATATATATGCTTGATTCATGAAATGTTTAAAGTAATTTTGCATTGTATACTCGAGCTTAGGAAGTACTTCTTGTTGCCTATTCACCAACCTACAAACGTTTCGCAACATGAAGTGAAAAAATATGGATTGAACAGAAAAGAAGAAACCAAAACCAAAGAGCAATACATTTTTTGTTTAATTAATCACTTCTTAGTGTCAGAGCACGAAAAATGGAGAAGGGGAATAATTTGTATGCTGGGGAATTATCCTACTTTATTTGATGGCACCTATGTTGCAAAGATATGCATTCTCCAAAATAGAAACGTATGACAAGGCACGATCTTCAACCAGTAGGCAGTTAGGCAACATCTTAATGATTGTGACATGTCAAATGTTCTCCCAAGAAGCCCAAACAAAATTACCACATATGACTTTGCTGTAATTTTAATTTTTCTATCATAGAATAACACCAGTAATTATTTACTATATTTTGCGTGCAGTCGCGAGCCACCATACTTGGAGTAATCGAGTGGAAAATGGAGGAGAGGCTTGAGCAAATGAACAAGGAGGACTCGAGCACAGAAGCAGATGATCTTCTCGGGTGGGCATTGAAGCACTCTAATCTATCAAAAGAGCAAATATTGGACCTCTTGTTGAGCATGCTCTTTGCTGGGCATGAGACATCGTCAGTGGCACTTGCCCTCGCCATCTTCTTCCTCGAAGGTTGCCCTAAAGCTGTCAAAGAACTGCGGGTATAAATTCAGTTTGCTATACCAATTCAAATTCATTTGTGCTAAATTGGACGTAGCAATCTTTCAGAAGAAAAAGAAACCACATTCAGTATATACATGGATGGTGAAATGAACCAGAAATATCATGCAAATATTCACAGTGATCCATGGCCGTGCAGGAGGAGCATCTTGAGATTGCTAGGAGACAAAAGCTGAGAGGGGACTGCAAATTGAGCTGGGAAGACTACAAAGAGATGGTTTTCACACAATGCGTAAGGCCCTTTTGATTTGTCTGTTTTCTCCCTCATAATATCAGTGCAAGATATATGTGTGTGTCTGCTTACTTCCCATGGTGAAATCACTGTCCATGTACAGTTTGATGCCAAGGCAAATTATCTGATCCCCGGAAAAGTTGGGGAGCACCTTTCCTTGGTAGAGTCGTACTATTATAATAGCATCGTAGGTGTTGAGTGCCTTCTTTTGATGCTCGAGCACCAGGGAGGCCACTATTTTCAATATGTCAAAACGCCCATTTCAAAGTTTCAAAGCAATTAAAAAAATCCCAATGAAATTTATATGTGTTCCGCAGGAACGTGTGAAAAGTCAGTAGAAAACATTACGATTTCTAGGCTGAACAAAAACAACAAAATTCTGGACCAACAACCGAAAATGTTAGCCCATTTTGGAACTACATACTTTTTTTGTATGCCACATGCGGAAGTATAATGTTATGAAATTTTGCACATACGTGTATATGTGTCTGTGTGTTCACAAAAAAAATATTATTTTGATTCTGTTTAAATTTGTATTTTGAAAATGAGCTCCCTGTAGCTCGGTCACTGTTAGCATTTTCCACGGTGTTGTGCTACTGAATGGAACTATACAATGTGTCATTGTAGACCAGAATAGCATCTTCCGGTCCTACACATTCCAACTGCCGAACTCTCTTGTTTGCGAGTTAGTTCAAATGCGGTAGAGGAAAGGTGACAAATGTTTGAGTCCTTAATTGCTTCTTTTCTTGCAGGTTATAAACGAGACCTTGCGGCTAGGCAACGTGGTTAGGTTCCTGCACCGGAAGGTCATTCGAGATGTGCACTACAATGGTTGGTGCCTTAATTCTTACCGTACATATATTCTTCTGACAGTACCAGTGAACTCTTCTTCGTACAGATGGAGTTGTTGAATATTTGACGTGGACTGACAGGGTACGACATTCCGAGCGGATGGAAAATTCTGCCGGTGTTAGCGGCAGTGCATCTCGACTCATCACTGTACAAAGATCCCAACAGCTTCAACCCTTGGAGGTGGAAGGTCAGTGCCTAAACGATGCCTACAATTTTATCAGCACAAAATCAACTGGAACTAGGAGTGATATTGCTATCAGCTTAAGGATCTCGTGAAAATCAATCCAAGAAAGAAAAGGAAAATATATGTCTGGCAGTCGTTGTCCAGTCAATCACAGGCCTTCATGCCGTTTGCACAGTGAAACTTCGGCGGGAAAAACAAAACGACGCCATGTGGTCGTGGCAATAGCACCGCCTCCACCACTTCAACAGGACAAAGACAAACTTGATATATGCACTCAGCTTCAGAGAAGTTAACATTGTGTTTGCTGTTGTAGCAGGGCAACACATCCGCCGTGGCGCACAACGGCAACTTCATGCCCTACGGCGGCGGCACGAGGCTCTGCGCCGGGTCCGATCTCGCCAAGCTCGAGGTGGCCATCTTCTTGCACCACCTGGTGCTCAACTTCCGTTGGGAGCTCGCCGAGCCAGACCAGGCGTTCGTGTACCCGTTCGTGGACTTCCCCAAGGGCCTGCCCATTAGGGTCCATAGGATTGCAAAGGAAGAAGGGGAAGACTAAAGCGTTTTGGCCGAGGACATATACGATAGGTGATTCAGTCTCGCGTCAAAGAGAAATGTGCACATGTTCGTCGTCGTTTTCTTTCCCTTTGGGCTTTGTGTTATTTTTTCTTAGAACAGCGCTGCTTTATTTAAATAACTAGCAAGGCGGCCCTCGCAAATGCGAGGGAATGATCTTGAAGTCGGTCAAAAATATTCTGTATTTATTTTTATCTTATTGTTAAAAAGATATTTTGAATCATTTTAAATCTTGAATGAATAATTATTTTGACATTTATAAAACACCATATTCTAGAATGTTCTCTATGTTGTTACATAGGTAGTCCTATCTTGATCTAATTTTACTCTTCAAACCCACATTCCCACTCAAATTTTGTTCTTGTGTCATAGAAGATGATAACACCAACTTTGATCTATCATAGTCTCAACATATTTATTACTCACGGAAGACAAGGGTGGCATCAGAAGGGATGCAGTCACCGTCCTAGGTGCCGTACCATCTGGCAATCAATGGTCCTTTGTAGAGCTGTCTTAGTACGTCAATAGTTGAGGTCAATTATTTGATTCACATGAATAAAAAAAGTAAGAAAAATATGCTTGCAATGACACCTTCAATTAAATCTTAAGAACTGCAAAACCATATCACACAAAAGTGTATTTTGACAACACAGTAAATACATAAGTACTAATGACAATCCAACATATTTCAGTTGATACATGAAGAGTAAGATCATGGCTCTCTCTCTCTCTCTCTCTCTCTCTCTCTCTCTCTCTCTCATGTTGGAAATGCATAAGTATTTCTAGGAGTTGGTTCAAGATCTTTAGGTGTCTGATAAAGGCAAACATTAAACATTGTTGGCTTGTTATGTACCTTAATCCTTAGATTGTGTCAAGTGGCCTTGTCAACCGTACTGTTTTCTTTGGAAGGTTATGGGCACTACCATCACAGTAATATATGGGCACTACCATCACAGTAATATATGATCACCTAGTACTCGATCCGTATTGTTTTCTTTGGAAGGTACTATTGGTACTTGCTTCTTTTGTCGGCATATATGCTAGTTAATATCTGACATACAATTGGAGAACTTTATAAGTGATTGCACCATTCACACAATTGAGGAGAATATATTTTCATCTAATTAAAAATGGGTATAACTATTAATATTTCATGTTCTCTAATAAGTAATATGTTTGTCTTTTTGTTATTTATGGGTACTTATACATGTATAAAAATAAGCCACCTGACACTTTTTAATGCATACCACATATATTTTTGTGCCCATATAGTAATGTAGTTACCTTAGCAGACACATCTAAACATGCACATTTCAAATGAACAGGAAAGCCTACCGATTAACTATTGGTTCTGTTTTTGCCATCCGTATTGGACACTCCATCAGTATGGTCTATGACAAACTGGATCACATGCTTCTCAAACTGTCTTGAAATCTAGCAATTAATTTCAGATAAAAATAGCTAAATAATTGGGGTAGTTTAAAATTATCATATATTGTGCTTTTAGAACATGACTAATATATTTAGTGTTATCCACTCGACACTCTTTTGAACCAATAAACAAATAAGTCGTTCACCCAAACTCGCAATGCAACAATCCTAGCTATTAACTATGAAAATGATACTGCAAAACGGTTAGCAGTGAATGGTGCTATATATACATTGAGCACAACGGACAATAGAAGATATCAATACTACAGATAATGTAGCTACCGTCAAGCCATGACAACCAAAGTTGCCTGATCAACACTACATGTAAGGTTTTCGCAAGAAAGAACAATACATATAAGGTGGCTGCCATCAATGTTACTCTGCCCGTCCACCTGATGGCAACGTCTTGATGTGTACTTGTACTGGCAGCGAGTACAGCCAGAAGCCCCTTGCAGAGCAACGACAACCACATATCTGAACTTGCCTTGTCCTTGTGTGATATATGCCTGTAGTACTTGCACACACTGTGCTCTCGAATGTGTTCTATGAGCTTGTACATTGCAAGCATGAGTTGTTACTTGCATGTGTAGCTTCAGAGTTGTGAATGGAAATTTCAGAAATAAACATCTAATTGCTATTACTTGTTCGTATTGGCAATTGAGGTGTTCCTTACATACTACATGATGTAATATAACTCAAATGCTGCAAGTCTGATTCATCTTCAAGGTTTCTACATCTGACACAAGTTAACATGTTAGCAGCCAAAAAGAATCATGGATAAAATAGCTTGCTGCTACTCCATGGAAACCCGGTGCCTCTGTTTGCATTCAATTTTTTTTGAACACATACATAAACAAGAACAAGATTTCAAACCATCAAACACAACTGGAACTCGGTAGCATCTTGTAACCATTAATAAAGCATGTTGCATGCATCCAATGTGATAATAAGTGAAAAGTTGGAAAATAAACACAACTTATCAGGTAGAATGGAAAATTCAGTAAAACTAATTAAATGGTATTAATAAGCCTTGTGTCTTTTACCAAGTTGCACCTATCATGATTGACAGTTTGGAAGCATGTGCTGCACATTCATGGTTTCTTTGCCAGGACAATTACGACTGTCATGAAACCCTATTTGGTTGCATGTCTTGCACAAGCATGTGACCTTGACCTTGGCTTCTTTGTTCATCTCCATTTGCTTTTCCCCATTGATTTCCTTTCCTCTCTTTGTACTTTTACATCTCCCTACCGAATGAACATCATTTGGCAGGTGTAGGTCAATTTGAGCAAGAATGTTGCAACCAATAAACACCTCATGTTCCTCTTCCCTAGTGTGCTTGACTGCATTAGGAACCATTTGGTTTAGAGGATCCTCAATGCTCACCACACTTGCCTTCGTCTGATTGCTTGGCTTTTCGAATTAGATCTTCCAACATCTTTTGAACTGTTGATATCTTTTTCCTTGCAGCTGCATCCAAGGAGTCGATCGACTTTTGTTCCAGAATGTTTCCTTGTTCATCATAAACACTCTCACTCGAAAAAAAATTGATGTCAACCATATGATTCCAAAAAAAACTAACATTAATGGTTGATAAAATTTGTGTACCTTTTACACCTTTTTTGCCATCTTTCCATAATATAGAAGGTGGGAAGCTCCTTTTGGTTTCAAACACTGGGCATCTGCATGCTTGATTTTTAATCTGAGTCCACGGTAGTAGTTTTGCAAGTCCCTCATCGTGCATCCAGCATTCGCAAACCCACCCTTGCTAACCTGGAGGAGCATTTATGCTTGGCAAGTACCTATGCTTTGCTTTGCACATGTGTACAATGTGTTCTTTTCCCTCTCACTCAAATGATGATTTGATCTGATAAAGTGACGCTTATCAGGTGACACAAGACCATGATTGTGGTGCTTAACCCTTGATTCTATCTTATAGGCATCATTGCCGCACAACTTCACAAAGATATGTGCATCACAGCCACACCCTGTGTCTATGTTCTTATGCCTTTTCTTGGATGGATTATCAATCTTTTTACCCTTTTCAACTTGAATCCTTCTCTTTTACACATGTATCGCTTAGTGCAAATTACCTCATTTTCAAACTTCTTCTGCTATCCAATACGAGCCCCAAAACCTGAGTGATGTGCATAAGACTTGTAGAACTCCTCCACATCCTTCATTCCCTGAAATGTCATCCCCATAGCTGGCTTCAAATTATCTTCACATTCAGGTATAAAAGATGAGCACTGCAACATAAATAATTAATCAGTAAGAACCATCATGTACAAATAACTGAACAGAATACGACAATGGTCGGTTAAAGCAATTGACTTACAATGACAGGAACACTTGCTTTCTTTATGGGTGTACTAAATCCTTCCGTGTTCATATGCATTTGGCAACTATTTGCAGATCTCATTGTTGCAGAAATAAGTACATGATAAGCCTATGAAAGTAACAAAAAGAGGACACACTATTTGACATGAGAAGTACATCCCGATTTTGATTCAACGAACAATGCCAATGGAAAGAACGGGTGGCATTTCAAATGACACTTGGCATACAAAATTATAGTCTACCAACAATATATGTATGTGCATGTAAGAGCAGGAACAACAATTCCTGACTTCACAACAAAATGGTAGCACCGACAGAGATGTTTGCATGAAGATAGGTGCATTAAGAATAAATTTTTACAAACTAGCAAAACTTCGAACAATGCATATGAGCCAGATCGCATCATGTGTACACATAACTCCCTATTTACATCAAGTTAAGAAGAATCCCTGTCTAGATACAAATTGGATCATTATTTTACTCATTAACTCCTGGGCTGAAGAACATCTATCTGCTTTGAAACACTATGCACGATAAGGTAAGGATTGAGGCATGCATTTGGGACACTATATTAACCTTAGAGTATACACGTATGGCCACCAAGATCTCTTCTTTGTGGATGGTTAGGGCGTATGTTGAGTACTTCTATATCTAGCTTCAAGTCGCCAAAAATTTGTTTCAATATATCTCCATTACAACACAAGTGATGTTGCAGAAAATTCCTGCAACATGGGTCATGTTGCAGAATTTTTTGCAACATAGGTGAAATTGCAGATTTGTTTTGCAATGGAAGTCTTGATATAGTTTTTTTTGTAACAAAGGTCCTGTTGCAATGTTTTTACTAGAGATCTCATTACATTTTTTTGTAACAGAGGTCTTGTTGCGGCACTTTTTGCAACAAAGACATTGCTACAGAAACACACTATACCGGACAGCGAGAAGCAAGTAGTGCTACCTCTTGAGCACTTCGTTGGTTTTCCCTTGAAGAGGAAAGGGTGATGCACAAAGTAGCATAAGTATTTTCCCTCAGTTTTTGAGAACCAATGTATCAATCCAGTAGGAGGCAACACGCAAGTCCCTCGTACCTACACAAACAAATAAGAATCTCGCAACCAACGCGATAAAGCGGTTGTCAACCCCATCACGGTCACTTACGCGAGTGAGATCTAATAGAGATAATAATGATAAGATAAATATTTTTGGTATTTTTAT